TTAAGTGTAATGGGAATAATAAACATGTCTCGAAGGTAGTACATTCAAAGTGCACATCCTCAATTGTCGTTTCTCATTGAAAGCTAAACAAAGTTGTTGTATGAGTTTCAATTGTTGCATAAAAACCCACAATGATGACTAGCATATGTAAAACTTAGCCAAAGAAATATGATTTCATATTGACTAAGAGTTCTAAAGTATTTATTTTGGGACATGATGATTATGAAAGTAATGAAGATGATTTGACAAGTTATAACTCCAAATGGTTTAACAACCAGGAAATCTGAAATAGATTCTAAGTCTGTAAGCAAGCGTATAACACTTGAATAATTTTCCTAATTGGGTGAGACCCATTATAAGCAAAACAGACAAGAAAGAAATTTTTTTTCTAAGTAAGCAAAGACTTGTTAAAGGATTCAACTAATTCGTAGTATGACTATGACTACGACGAAAACTTTACATTAGTCATGTTGCAAAGATCTATTAAAGATATTTTAGTGATTACTACCTTATAAGATTTGGTAGATGGACTTCAAAACACTTTGTTAAAATTGTTCATGAAAGAAGATTTGTATATGATACAATCAAAAGTTTGAAGATCAAATAATCCTAGGGATGCATAGCATCATGGAGTTAGTATTCTTAATTTTATGAGTAAATCAAATCGTTTGATGTCCTCGTAAAATGAAGAAAAGGTCTTGTGTGTACAAGATGTAGTGGGAGCTGGAGCTATGAAGTCTTCTTGGTCTAGTATAAAGAGAAATTATTCATTGCTTGAAGGGCCAAGTAATGGCTGATGCATTTTGTATGAAAAACCTTGAAGAGAATGATGAGTACATTTAGGATTCAAAATGTATAGAGATAGGTTTTGATTGATGTTTGAGTTTGGTTAAGAATCTTATATTGATAAGATTCTTATAAGGTTCGACATTATATTGAAAGGAGTTTCATTCCCATGTAACATGACACATTGATTAATGATTCAATGCTTTGAGAAAGGTTGATGGAATTAAGGTATTGAGTGATGATCCTCATGCAATATGCAAAGGATGCATCATGCATGTCATGGACTATACTCATCTATTTGATTCACATGTTTTTTAAGAACAAGTGATGATAGATTTCAATCAAAATCCAATGTGATTTAGGAATACAAATTAGAAATTCCGAAATTCCTAGTAAAGGGATGAAAGAAGATTCTTAGTGTATGGAGATGAATATTATTAAAATTTAGAAATTGCAAAATTCATGTTTATGAGAATGTCTCATGAACTCTACTTAGTAAACCCCTTCCATTTCCAAAGCATGAGAAACATGCTAATGAAACTGGATTGAGGCCAATGATGTAATTAGAAGTTGTATTTGTTTTTGGAGAAAAACAAGTTACATTTGTAATACATTCATTTGCAGAATTATGTTTATCAATTGAAACAAAGTTTCAATCTTATTTAATCGTGGTTTCAAGATTAAATAAAATGTTCAAAATAATTATGAATTGATGGGCTCATCAGGTTGATGACCTGGTGAATGGAACCCCACAGGTGAACTAAATTCATACATTATTTAAGTTCCTAGTTCAGAATCAATAAACTGGACATAAATGTTTTCTTAAATTGGACTAGCATGTAAGATTGATTGGATATTGCAGTTTCATGGGCTATAGGAGCATAGTGATGATGCTCGGTCAATCACATGGATATGCATGAATGATGCATGATCGAACTGTTGACCTACTTTGAAGTTCATGTATAGAGATTCCGGTTATATTAGTGGATTCCTTTGACATGAGTGGAACACTGATCCCATTCAATGATTGATTTAACTGTGGTACATTCAAACGTCCAGCCGTAACTGGGGATTATAAAGGGTGTTTCCCGGTTGCTTCATGAGTTGAGTGAGAGCTTTGGTTGCCACAAGATTGGATTGAGTCTACCTATTTAATTAGGAATGTGTCTTGGCCACTTGAAGAGGGAGAATTCAGAAAATGCATGGCCGTGCTCAAATGCATTACATAGTAATCATTTGTTCTGTGAATCTTACTCAGTATTTCAAGAAAAGATTTGTAGACTAATATAATCACGACATGAGATGCAATCATATTATCAAATCGACACACATTGACTTAAGGAATTTGAATATTGCGCACTTGTCTCAAACAAGTGGGAGATTGATGGAGTTATGTCTTCGATAAGTGCAATTACTAGATATATCAAGGATCACTATTATGGAGATAATAAGTTCATTCTATAGGGTCGTCAATGTTTAGTGCTAGATATGACAATTGATCTTTGGGCTAGCTTAATAGCCTAAAGCCTTATAGAATGGATCTTACAAGGTCACATATAAGAAGAGTATTGGGTTAAACAAGTTAGAGGCTCATTATTGGGCCTTATGAGTTCATGACATACCAAGTTGATAATTGGGCTTGGATAGTTAGAAGAGTCTAATGGTTTTTGGACTTGACATGGTTTTAATTCTAGATATGATCTATAAATATAAACCATGCCTAGGGTTGCATGACACAACAATTGACATACAGTGAATTGTAACACAAGCAACCAGGTTTCCCAAAAACCCTAACTCTCTCTCTCTCTACTCGGCCCTCTCTCTCTTTCCCTGTCCATACGACCCTCCTCCCCGGGTGGCGCGTGTGGTGGCGCGTGGGTGGTGTTGTGGCGGTTCGTGGCTTAAATCTCCGTTGAAGTTGATTAAAGTGTTCAGTCACAACTAACTAGCATTAGTGGAGGTTTAATCCATGCTCGTGGACTAAGTAGAGGAATCACACTTGGGGTTCTTTATCTCCCATTGTTCTTGCTCGATCGCACGTGGAATCACGCTTCAAAGGTACGATTATATGTTCTTTATGTGTTATGCATTAGATCCTGGGATTAGGTGCTGTATGAATATGATTCATGTTTATTTCCGCTGCGTAGTACCTATATTTCCCTACACTTAGAGATATAGGACTTTAACATCCCTTTGTCAGTTAGACGGTCCAACTCCCGTTGAAGGCTGAAGCAGTCGTTGGTGTCATGGCCAACTTCCTCATGGTATTGGCAGAATTTATTTTTGTTCCTTGATTGAATGTAACTTTTCATTGGATTCGGCTTCTCTAGAGACAGTCGGTCCTTGATCTCCATGAGGATGGAGTTGTAGTCCTTGTTAAACTTGTACCTAGGAATGTACGGTTTAAATTATTTCTTCTTCTAAGACGACTGGTCAAAATCACTAACCGCCCATACTTCTTTTCTCTTCTTGCTCTATTCTTTTTTCTTGGCCGGCTGAGCAGGCTGGCTGTCTTTCTGCCTGTCAGACTTCTTAGAGTCCGACTGGTTACCAGGCGAGTAGAGGTTGGTTGCTTGAATATAGCTTTCCGCCTCCCTCAGGGCCGCCTGTAAAGTGAATGCCCCTTTTCTGACTAGGTCGAACTTAAAAGTCGACCCGTCTCTCAAACCCTTTAAAAAGTCTGTAAAAGCTACCTCATTAGACAATCATTAAATCTGAATTCTGATTAGATTGAACCGCCTGACATAGGAGCGCAATCCTTCTCTCTCTCCATGCTTAATGGTGCTCAAGTCCAGACTTGTTTTCTTTGAAGGGATGTTTATCGAGAAGTTGGAAGCATATAGAAAGGCAAGCTTTCTGAAACAATCGATGGACCCAGCTGGCAAGTTGCCAAACCATTGTTGGGCAATGCCCTTCAATGTAGCCGGGAAGCATCGACACTAAGTGGCATCATCAAACCCCTGTAAGTACATGAGGTTGGTGTAAGCCATGTGGTGATCTTCCGGGTTGGGGATATCGTCATAGGTGCCTACCAACAGATTTTTAACCATAGCCGGTTGTGCCGCCTCGGTTATCTCCCGGGTGAACGCAGAAGGTTGTTCACCCAAGCGGAGCAGACGAAGCTGCCAGTCTAGTGGCTAGACATTGTTGTATGCCGCCTGACCTCCGTAGAGGGCTGGCTGCATGAAATGGGGAAAATACAGATCGTAGACCTGAGAAGGTACATACGGTGCAGTCCCAATCATCTGAGGACCAGAATGGACGGTATTACCACCTTTATGGCTCTCATGCAAGGAAGGTACATTCCCTGCAGATGTGTTCTTGAAGTTGTCTGGAAAGCTCGACGTAGAGGCCGACTCAGACAATTGCTTATTTCTCTTGCGGGTGATCATCTCCCGGGCGTCAAGAGTTGATTTTTTGTTTCCTACCGGCTGTTGAGTCCGGCGGGGATTGTTGGTATTCCTCTTAGTGATGTAAAAACTAATAGAAAGTCTTAGTTAATACAAGTTTAATGGATCAAACTTAAGTGGAAAGAAACAAAGGTTGGTGTTTTAAGTCAAATTACGGGTAAAGGTTTGTAGGTTGTTTTGGAAATGGTTAAGGAACATTTTTTAGAAGAAAGAAGGATTAGTTTGTAAGGATTACTCACTTAAACAAACAAGATATGTAGGCAAGGATTACTCACTTAAAACCCACTAGTTGTTTAATTTGCATGGAAGGAAAAACTCACTTAACCACTCAAATTCGTCAAGTTAAACTTGGCAACAAAAACGATTTATCTTAGCAACAAGAATAAATAGTTTTTAAGGAGAAAACTTTCTTAACTCATATATCATAATATGCCATACACTTACATTTCATAAGCTTAAATAAAGAAAACAAACTAGTCCTAAACTACACGCATTAAACAAGCTTAACGTGTGTTTATTGTAACTAAACATGAAAGCTAAAACCTAGCCTAGAATCACGCCTATACTAAGCATATTTTCTTAACTGATTTTAGGCTTTAATCACCCTTAATTAACCTCTTAAAAACTGCTGAAAAGAAGCTTAAAAACAGCCATAAAGAACCAGCAAAAAAACGTGGAGTAACCTCCCCTTGATTCATGCCTTTCTTCATGCTAAATGTTTATGACTTGCAATGAAGTTTCTCCTTGCTTCAAGGAAGACTTTTCCTATGCCTAAGGCTGTTCAAAACGTGCCTAGGATTCCCATTAACATTCATAACCAGAATGTAAACAAGTAAACCCTTGGTTAGCAAGAAACGGTCCATGCGCACAAAAAGTATCTAACACTTGATCTTCAAATGACTTAGCAAGAATGATTTCTTTGTGAATTGGACTTGTAGGATGATCATGTTTGATTGGACTAATGGACTCTTCCTGATTTGCATCATCCTCCCCTTCTTCGAAAGGAGTTGCCCTCAACTCATCATCTTCTAGATAAGGAGCCAAGTCACCCACGTTGAAAGTTGATGAAACTCCGAATTGCCCTCCAAGGTCCACTTTGTAAGCATTATCATTGATCTTTTCCATGATTTGAAAAGGTCCTTCAGCCCTAGGAATCAATTTGTGTTTCCTTTGTTTAGGAAACCTTTCTTTGCGCAAGAATATCCACACAAGATCACCCACTTCGAACTTCTTCATATTTCTCAAGTTTTTGTTAGCTTGCTTCTTGTATGACTCATTTGCCTTTTCTATGTTCTTCCTAACTTCTTTATGGACATCAATCATGAATTCTATATGCTCCTTGGCTGTCCCATGCACGAACTTATCTTTAGGAAGCGAAATGTAATCAATCGGCACATAAGGATTCACACCATACACAACTTCAAAAGGTGAATACTTTGTAGTTTGCTTGGAGTTCTATTGTAGGCAAACTCTGCATGAGCTAACTTCAAGTCCCAATCTTTACCTCCCTTATTCACTAAGGCACGAAGCAAAGAACCAAGAATTCGGTTCACCACTTCGGTTTGACCATCCGTTTGTGGATGATGGCTTGTTGAGAAAAGTAGCTTAGTACCCACGAGCCTCCACAAGGACTTCCAAAAATGACTCACAAACTTAGTGTCACGATCCGAAACTATGGTTCTAGGAAAACCATGTAATCTAGCCACTTCTTTAAAAAAAAGTTGCGCCACATTGAACGCATCATCCACCTTCTTACAAGCTATGAAATGAGCCATCTTTGAAAACCGATCAACGACCACCATGATAGAATCTTTTCCACGAGCTGTTCTAGGCAAGGCCATTATGAAATCCATACTCAAATCTTCCCAAGGTCTTTCGGGAATGGGCAAAGGCTTATACTCTCCCTTATGAAACGTCATTTTGGCTCTTTGACAAATAGAACACCTAGCCAAAACTTGGTGCACATTAGCTAACATTTTTGGCCAATAAAAATGACTTTGTAAGATTTCTAGGATCTTTTGTATACCCATATGACCAGCAAGTCCTCCTCCATGAGCTTCCTTGATCAACAACTCTCGAATTGCACCTTTAGGAACACAAAGTTTGTTCCCTTTGAAAAGGAAACCATCTATTATGACAAATGAACCGTGGACTCCATTCTTGCAAGACTCCATGATTTCCTTGAGTTCAAGATCATCTTTGTATGATTCCTTCATGACCTCGAAACCAAGAATTTTAGTTTCCATGATTCCAAGAAGATTATGCCTTCTTGATAATGCATCCGCCACAATATTGGTTTTGCCTTTCTTGTACTTGGTTGCAAAGTTGAAAGATTGTAGGAATTCCACCCACTTAGCATGCCTTGCATTCAACTTCTTTTGCCCATGAATGAACCTTAAAGATTCATGATCCGAATGTAAGATGAAAGGCTGTGGCCTCAAATAATGTGACCAATGATCCAAAGCTCGAACCATGGCATAGAATTCTTTGTCATACGTGGAGTAATTCAATTTGCCTTGGCTCAATTTCTCACTAAAATACGCAATTGGCTTCTTCTCTTGGATTAGGACAGCCCCTATTCCTTTTCCACTTGCATCACACTCAACTTCAAACGGTTTCATGAAATCTGGAAGGGCTAGAACCGGCGCTTCACACATCTTCTTTTTCACCAACTCAAACGCCTTTTGAGCCTGTGGAGTCCATTGAAAACTTCCCTTCTTTGTACATTCGGTGATGGGAGCCATAAGGGTGCTAAAATGTTCAATAAACCTCCTATAGAATGAAGTAAGTCCATGAAATGAACGAACCTCCGTGACTGTTTTTGGAATTGGCCATGAAGAAATGGCTTCCACTTTGCTTGGATCAACTTTAATTCCTTCACCTGAAATAATATAACCAAGGAAAACAATATCTGTTAGCAAAAAATGGCACTTCTCTAACTTCTTATACAATTGTTGCTCTCTCAAGGTTTTGAAAATCTCTTCCAAGTGTTTCAAGTGCTCCTCCTCATTTTTACTGTAGATGAGAATGTCATCTAAGTAAACAACTACAAACTTTCCCAAAAATGGCCTCAACATTTCGTTCATAAGTCTCATGAAGGTACTTGGAGCATTTGTTAATCCAAATGGCATAACAAGCCACTCATACAAACCATGCTTAGTTTTAAAGGTTGTTTTCCATTCATCACCTTCCCTCATTCTAATTTGGTGATATCCACTCCTCAAATCTATCTTGGAAAACACTTGAGCTCCACTCAACTCATCTAACATATCATCAAGTCTAGGAATAGGAAACCTATACTTAATGGTTATGTTATTCATCGCCCTACTATCAATACACATCCTCCATGTTCCATCCTTTTTTGGCACTAACAAAGCCGGAACGGCACAAGGACTCATGGATTCTCTCACGTAACCCATTTGCATCAACTCCTCAATTTGTCTTTGTAATTCCTTAGTTTCCATGGGATTGCATCTATAAGGGGGTTTATTCGAAAGGGGGGCTCCCAGAATCAAATCTATTTGATGTTCTATACCACGAATAGGAGGCAACCCTTGTGGTAATTCATTAGAAAAAACATCTTCATACTCCTTGATCAATGCGGCTAGCCTAGGGTTTTGTTGGACAAAACCTTCGTGTTCCTCTTTAAAAATCAATAAGAACACTTCATCTTCCTTCTCCAAAGAGTTTTCGAATCCTTTTAAGGAAAGTAACAAAATGTCCTTTCTTTTGGGCTCTTTTTGTGGTGGTGGGGATTGTGTTTGGGAAAGGCTTTTTTGTGGTGGTAAGGGGTGCAACACTTTCTTGCTGCCTTGGTGAGTAATGGTGTAGGTGTTTGATAGGCCATCATGTACTGATTTTTTGTCACTTTGCCATGGCCTCCCTAACAAAATGTGACAAGCATCCATGGGAATGACATCACATAAAATTTCATCCACATACGAACCAATCTGAAATTTTACTAGACATTGTTTTCTAACTCCCGTACTCTTGCTCTTATCAAGCCAACTCAACTTGTAAGGAGTAGGATGTCTAGTAGTCTTCAAGTCAAGTTTCTTAACAAGATCACTTGACACAACATTAGCTTCACTGCCACTATCAACAATCAAGTCACACACATCTTCATTAACCTTGCATTTGGTTAAGAAGACATTTTCTCTTTGAATTGGGGTTTTCTCAACCTCCACGTGCATTTGGAGGGCTCTCCTCATTACTAGACTATTTTTTTCGGGAAAACATTCATCAACTTGCTCCTCCTCCTCATTAGAATCATAAGACTCTAAAGGTACATTTTCACTACCATTTTTGTTCTCCTTCTCTTCTTCAAGGACAAAAGGTTGTGCCATCATATTCTTAAGCTCTCGTATGGTTAAAGCTCTTGCATTAGGACAATCTCTCTTGTAGTGCCCTCTTCCATGACATTTGAAACAAACAATGTCACTTAAGTCTCCGGTTTTGGCTTTTCCTTTTTCTTTTTGTGAAAGATCAAACGAGGCAGGGTTCTTTTTGGTAGTGGAATTTGGAAAGGAAGGGGTTTCTTTTGGTGGGTTAAATGGGCGTTTGAATTTTGGGTCAAAAGGGTTCAAAGGTTTCTTCTTCTTCTTTTGATTGTCCAATTTCACCGAAAGCTTACAAGCTTCATCAAAGGTCTGATTGGGTTGCACTTCTACTTTCTCATAAATGTCCTTATCCAAACCAGCCATAAACCTCCCTAATTTGAGTTCTTCATTTTCCACTATTTCGCACACAATGGAAAGTTTCTCAAATTCTTTAATGTATTCCTCCACACTACTCCCTCCTTGCTGCAAAGTGCTCCATTTCACATACATGGATTTCTTGTAATTAGAAGGAACAAATCGTCCCCTAAGTTTCTTCCTAAGCTTGGTCCATGTAGAAATACGAGTTTTCCCATTGCTTTCTCGTTTTCTTTGGACTCCTTTCAACCAAGTTTCAGCATACTTGGCTATCTTTACCTTAGCAATCTTGTACTTTTGTTCATCTTCCTCAACGTCTTTGAACTCAAAGTACCTCTCAAGTGATTGCTCCCACTCCAAGTACTTCTCAGGGTCAAGAGTACCATCAAAAAGGTCTACATCCACCTTTAGACTCTTGTCATCATATCTAGGAGGGTTTTGACGCCTATCCCTTTGTTCTTGTGTCAACAAACGAGCCATTAGAGCCATTATATTACCATGTAATTGCTCATTGGTTTCCAAGATTCTTTGTTGGTTTTCCTCCATCATTCTAAGTCTCCTTTGGTCAATGGTTTCATTTGGGTTTGCTTGATCCATTTTAAACAGAAATGCCCCCTACCTGACGCGCTAAATGATGTAAAAACTAATAGAAAGTCTTAGTTAATACAAGCATAATGGATCAAACTTAAGTGGAAAGAAACAAAGGTTGGTGTTTTAAGTCAAATTATGGGTAAAGGTTTGTAGGTTGTTTTGGAAATGGTTAAGGAACGTTTTTTAGAAGAAAGAAGGATTAGTTTGTAAGGATTACTCACTTAAACAAACAAGATATGTAGGCAAGGATTACTCACTTAAAACCCACTAGTTGTTTAATTTGCATGGAAGGAAAAACTCACTTAACCACTCAAATTCGTCAAGTTAAACTTGGCAACAAAAACGATTTATCTTAGCAACAAGAACAAATAGTTTTTAAGGAGAAAACTTTCTTAATTCATATATCATAATCTGCCATACACTTACATTTCATAAGCTTAAATAAAGAAAACAAACTAGTCCTAAACTACACGCATTAAACAAGCTTAACGTGTGTTTATTGTAACTAAACATGAAAGCTAAAACCTAGCCTAGAATCACGCCTATACTAAGCAGATTTTCTTAACTGATTTTAGGCTTTAATCACCCTTAATTAACCTCTTAAAAACTGCTGAAAAGAAGCTTAAAAACAGCCATAAAGAACCAGCAAAAAAACGTGGAGTAACCTCCCCTTGATTCATGCCTTTCTTCATGCTAAATGTTTATGACTTGCAATGAAGTTTCTCCTTGCTTCAAGGACGCCTTTTCCTATGCCTAAGGCTGTTCAAAACGTGCCTAGGATGCCCATTAACATTCATAACCAGAATGTAAACAAGTAAACCCTTGGTTAGCAAGAAACGGTCCATGCGCACAAAAAGTATCTAACACTTGATCTTCAAATGACTTAGCAAAAAATGATTTCTTTGTGAATTGGACTTGTAGGATGATCATGTTTGATTGGACTAATGGACTCTTCATGATTTTCATCACTTAGGCAGAAGAATCTTGGAGCAATCAATAGTCCGGGTTGCCTTCTCCTTTGGATGAGGAGTTGGCTGCCGGTCTTTACTGACTTCCCCTTCTCCAGAGGAGTCTTTTTTGCCGATTGACCCTTGCTTGGGCCAACCCGACTCTTTGTAATCAGATCTTTAATTTTACCCTTGAAACTTGTCATGAACTTCATGAGTTCGTCTCGACTGACGGGAGCTGATCCGCTGGCCATATGGGTTTCCCCTTCCGGATGTCCAGGGGGTTGTTTTGTACCCGCCTGGTTGGCACCCCGCTCTAGAGTGTCTCTTGGCCGAATGCGCTTGGTTATTAGGGAGCCATCCTCGGCTATATAAGTTTCAACCTGAGGATCTTCATCCTCTTAGTCAGTGAAAACTTCCGATTTGTCGACTAGACGCTCAGGAGGTGGTACAGACTCTTGAACCATCCTTGAGGTACTCTCCCCACAGACGGCGCCAAATGTTTTGGTTACTTTTGTCCCTCGGGAGAGTTACGTCACAAAGATTGGTCCGACTGAGCTGTACTTGCAAAAACAACGGAGACTCCGGATGGTAAGGCTCCGCCTCCAACGGTCAAATTAGTAACCTGAAAAGGAATAAAGAGTGCGGAAATTTAGGTGGGGATCTGCTTGAATTCCAAGCTCAGGTGTTTCTCTGATGAGAGAGAAAGTTGGTGTAATAATGATTCAATGTGTCTCCAAAATGGAGAAATATCTCCCTATTTATAAGGTCGTTGGAGAATGTACCCCTATCTAGGTCACTTGACCTAGATTTTAGTGGGTTGCGCCGCTTTACGATGCTTTTGGGGATTTAGGCCCTTGAAGGCTGCCATTTCAGGGGCTTATCTCAGGGGGCCACGTGTCAAGAGGGTATTGGGCCACTTGGGCCATCCTGAACTCGCCACGTGGCCTCCTCTCATTGGTCCACATGTATAGAATATTTTTACCCTAAACAAAATGTATTAAACGAAGTTAATTGAATTAAATAAAAGTAAAAAACAATCACACAAAGCTTTTTCAATAAAATGAAAGTCAGACACATACAAACAAAGATTTTTGAATCAATCAAAGTCAAACACAATCAAACAAAGCTTTTTGAATAAAATGGAAGTCAAGCACATTCAAAGATATATTTTTGAATCGAATGATAGTCAAATGCATTAAACGAAGCTAATTAAATAAAATGAAAGTCAAACACATTCAAACAAAGCTTTTTGAATCGAATAAAAGTCTAATGCATTAAACGAAACTAATTGAATCAAATTAAAGTCAAACACATTCAAAAAAAGCTTTTTGAATCAAATGAAAGTCAAACACATTCAAACCAAGCTTTTTGAATCGAATGATAGTCAAATGCATTATTAAAGCCCATTGTATTAAATGAAATTCAAACAATTTTAAACAAATCATTTTAAATCAAATGTAAGTCAAACACATTCACACAAAGCTTTTTAATTAAAATGAAAGTCAAAGAAATTCAAACAAAGTTTTTTGAATTAAATAAAAGTCATACGCATTAAAGCAAAGCGTTTTTAATTGATGTAAAGTCAAATGCATTCAACGTAGCTAATTAAATTAATTGAAAGTCAAACACATTCAAACAAAGCTTTTTAAATTGAACGAAAATCAAACGCATTCAAAAAAAGCTTTTTGAATCAAATCAAAGTCAAACATATTCAAACCAAGCTTTTTGAATCGAATGATAGTCAAATGCATTATTAAAGCTCATTGTATTAAATGAAATTCAAACAATTTTAAACAAATCATTTTAAATCAAATGTAAGTCAAACACATTCACACAAAGCTTTTTAATTAAAATGAAAGTCAAAGAAATACAAACAAAGCTTTTTGAATCAAATTAAAGTCATACGCATTCAAACAAAGCTTTTTTAAGTCATAAAAGTCAAATGCATTCAACGTAGCTAATTGAATCAATTGAAAGTCAAACACATTCAAACAATGCCTTTTAAATTGAACGAAAATCAAACACATTAAAAAAAAGCTTTTTGAATCAAATAAAAGTCAAAAACATTCAAACAAGTCTGTTTAAATCAAATGAAAGTCAAACACATTCAAACAAAGTTTTTTTAATTGAATGAAAGTCAAACATATTCAAACAAATCTTTTTGAATTAAAAGAATTAAATACATTCAAACAAAGATTTTTGAATCGAATGAAAGTCAAACAAATTCAAACAAAGCTTTTTTAATCGAATGAAAGTCAAATGCATTAAAACAAGCTAATTGTATTAAATGATAGTCAAACACATTCAATGAAACCATTTTAAATCAATTGTATGTCAAACACATTCACACAAAGCTATATAAATCAAATGAAAGTCAAAGAAATTCAAACAAAGCTATTTAAATCAAATGAAAGTAATACGCATTCAAATAAAGCTTTAAGAATCAAATGAAATTCAAACACATTCTAACAATGCTTTTTGAATCGAATAAAATTCAAATGCATTAAACGAAGCTAATTGAATCAAATGAAAGTCAAACACATTCAAACAAAGCTTTTTGAATCGAATGAAAGTCAAATGGATTCAACGAAGATTATTGAATCAAATGAAAGTCAAACACATTTAAACAAACCTTTATGAATCGAATGAAAGTCAAATGCAATTAACGAAGCTAGTTGAATCAAATGAAAGTCAAAAACATTCAGACAAAGCTTTTAAAATATAATAAAAGTTTAACACATTTAAAGAAATATTTTTGAATCAATTAAAGTCAAACGCAATCAAACAAAGCTTTTTGAATAAAATGGAAGTAAAACACATTCAAATAAAGCTTTTTGAATCAAATGAAAGTCAAACAATTTCAAACAAAGCTTTTTGAATCAAAAGAAACTTAAACACATTCAAACAAAGCTTTTTAAATAGAATGAAAGTCAAACAAATTAAAACAAAGCATTATAAGTCAAATGAATGTCAAACACATTCAAACAAAGCTTTTTAAATGAAAAAAAAAAGTTAAACACATTCAAACAAAGCTATTTCAACCAAATGAGAGTCAAATACATTCAAATAAAGGCTTTTGAATCAAATGAAAGTTAAACACATTTAAACAAAGCTTCTTGAATCAAAATAAAAGTCAAACACGTTCAAACCTAGCATTTTGAATCGATTGAAAGTCAAATGTATTAATAAAGCTCATTGTATTAAATGAAAGTCAAACAATTTCAAACAAATCATTTTAAATCAAATGTAAGTCAAACACATTCACACTAAAGTTTTTAATTCTAATGAACGTCTAAGAAATTCAAACAAAACTTTTTGAATCAAATTAAAGTCATACGCATTCAAACAAAGCTTTTTGAATTGATTAAAATTCAAATGCATTTAACGTAGCTAATTAAATCAATTTAAAGTCAAGCACATTCAAACAAAGCTTTTTTAATTAAACGAAAATCAAACATATTCAAAAAA